TAAAAATCTTTCACATGATTTTTCAAAACACCCTTAATTTTAAGGATATTTTTTAAGTACCCTTTATTCATTTAAATAAATAAAAGGATTAAGATATATTATTTATCATTTTATTTTTTAGAAATAACCAGAAATGTGCCTTACCACACTCATAATATGTCAACCTCTATGTTAACACCTATGTACCGTAACATTTCCCAAATAATAATTAGATCAAATCAGTCAAGCATCACTTTGAATAAAATATAAATATAGTATTGTTTTATTAGTATGTCATGGAAACTACCTATTTTTTCTCTATTCATATGATTTATTCTATGAGTTCAAGGATAAAAATTGGGGAAAGTTAATCTATGAAAAGCAAGAAAAACTTAGTTCAAAGTGATGATTCGAAACGTGGATTTCGTTATAGAGAAATCAACTTGTGCGTTCACTACAAATTCTTTTAATCAAAATCCTTGTTTTCATAAAAAGGTCAATATACAAAATTTTAAATTTTAAATTGACTAAAAACTTAATTTAAAAATATGCCTTGTTAATTTAGATAATTTAAAAAATTAAATGACAAACTTTTTATATTTATATTTTATCTTTTAAATAACCCGGTGTGTTCCTTTGACGAGAAACCTCGTTGATTTATTCCCAAATCACACCGTGGATAGCTAGCTAGTGAGCATACGATTTGTCGAAGAGTAATGCTAATGCATCAAATAACCACCTGCCATGTGTATGTCACGTAGGGCGACTACCGTAGTGAACGACTGCAAATAGCATTACTCTCCATCCAACTCAAATTGGTCTTTCTTTTTCCGGAAGCTTGCCTTGAGCTGTTGACATGTTCCTAGTGGCCAAATTTTTTTTGAACAATTTGAGCTCCCTTTTTTTTTTTTGTCAAAAATGAGTTTTGTAATAGTGAATTTTTGGAGAATATGCTATTAAATACTTGAGACATCATATTAAAAGGTGAACCGTAATAAAACGAGGAGTCCAAACTCTTAAATGTTGATTAGTATTTGCATTCTTAACGTGAAATCTTACTTTTAACATGTTGAATAATATTGAAAAGGAATTAAAAAAAAATAAGATTTATATATTATACTGTTTGAACTATCTACTAAGTTCCTATTTGATTTTGATAAAAATCAAATTTTTTATAGATTATAACAAAAGTTGATGAAATGTATGATTGAAAAATTGTGAGTTTCATGAAATGTATTGTTAAAATTAAGGGTTAGTAATCTAATTGAACACTGAACTTTGCACAAAGTTTTTAGTGGGTCACAAAGTTTTGATAAATGACTACCTTCGCAGATCGACAGTCATTTTTGAACACTTCAAAGTGGATTGAGGAAGTGCGTACAGAACGAGAGAGTGATGTCATTGTTGTTCTTGTAGGGAATAAAACTGATCTTGTTGATAAAAGGTGAGAGGAAAAAGAGCCATTGGCAGTTTCTTTTCCTTTTCGTTCAACTGAATTAGTTCAGTCAAGAAATTCTTTACTAATTCGTTTTCCAGAATTGATCTAAGGTTATGTTGTTCTGCATAAACAGGCAAGTTTCAATTGAGGAAGGAGACGGGAAGGCTCGTGAATCTGGCATCATGTTTATAGAAACGAGTGCTAAAGTAGGTTTTAATATAAAGGTAAATGTACCTCTTTGCTCCATTGTGTATCTGAGTTCTGTAGAATACTGCCTTTGATAATATCCTTTCTAGAAATATTAAGTTCTTAGAGAAGTTCTCTCTGAAGATATTTCTTGATTGTAAGAGGATTGTTAGCTAGTGTGTATCATCTTAAGATGTTAGAATATGACATGGATCATTATACGTCTAGAAGTAGAAAGAATTACAATCTCTACCCACCTAAAATTCTCGGAATGTGTTTAGTTAGAATAGATGTCTAGATTGGAACTCGTTTAACGAGTTTATAAGTTACGATTTCTCTTCTTTTGGATATTATTCAAGCCATATTGCAGCCTTTGTTTCGAAAAATAGCTGCTGCTTTGCGAGGAATGGAAACTCAGTCTTCCACAAAACAGGAAGATATGGTAGACGTTAATTTGAAGCCGTCTACAAATACATCCCAGACGGAGCAACAAGGAGGTGGCTGCGCGGGCTAGAGATTGTTCAAATCGATTATATCCTCGTCCAATGCTGCGACCACCTCTGCCACGAGATCCTCCTCTACCACGTCCTCTACCAGCTGCCTCTCTTTGGTCATTTTTCTGGTTGTGCATCTTCCCCTTCACAAGGAAAGCTCTCTCTTCATTCTTCTCCTCTAATCTGCTAAGCCTTGCCTCATGGGATTGCAAAGACCCCATCATTTCATCAAATGAGTATACTGCTAAGTCTTTGGATTCTTCAATAGCTGCAACTACATGATCAAACTCTGGTGTTAAACTCCTCAACACCTTTGCAACAATAGGTTGATCTGAAATTTCCTCTCCATAGGACCTCATTTGATTAGCAATGACAGCTACTCGAGACAAGAAATCTTGCACAGATTCACCCTTATGCATTTGTAAAGTTTCAAACTCACGACGAAGAGATTGAAGTTTTATTGTGATTACCTTCAAGGTGCCTTGAAATACTGTTTGCAGTGTCGTCCAGGCTTCTTTGGCTGTGACTGCTGCTGCAATTTTTGAGAAAATCGACTCATGGACTGCTTGCTGAATGAAGAATAATGCTTTGGAGTCTTTTTGCTTGTTCTCTTTCAGTCAAGGTTCATCATCTGGATCAGGGTATCCATTCTCAACTAAGTCCCATAAATCTTGAGACCTGAATAAAGTCCTCATCTTGATGCTCCAGAATTCATAGCACTCTCCTTTGAAGATGGGAATCGCTGATTGTGAAACACTCAATGCATTGCCGTTAGTTGCCATCACTTTTATGCCCAGATATGAAGGAACCTTGCTCTGATACCAGAATTGTTGGGAATTCTGAAAATAAGAACAAAAAATAGAATCTGCAAAAAAGATCAAGTGATTTTCCACATCTTATTCGAGAACTGATGGTGCCTTTTTATAGGCTTACAATAAACTGAAAAAGCTAAAAACTCTCAACAAACAATCAGATTTTATTGCCACTAACCATTACTAATTGAAACAGAAATTTAAGGAGTAAAAGAGTGACACTAACAGAGACTTCTTTGACTAAACCAAACACGTGTTATTTTGAATCAACTTCAACACGCTTGACCCATCTCAATATTGGAGGAATTATTTGGACTGGTAATAAAATTGAAAAATGGGGCTATTAAATAAAGTGCTTGGTAAAGATTATGCTTACAAGACTGAGAATAGGAGAACAACTCTTCTTGAATTGAAGGAGGCAGAGCGCTTGTATTTCCTTGATCTGTTAG